CTTTTTAATGCACATTTTAAACGTTAATTTTATGAATATTTTTTTTATGTGATTGTACATTGTTTTTAAAAGTTTTATGCGAGCATTCAGTTTCCTTCGTTGAAGGATGAATAAAGTTTTACTTTGACTTTGACTTTGACTTTGAACACAATAGGATTACAGAGACTCCTCTAATCAACGTTTCGCTGGGGATAGCGTCAAGTCTTGTAGCAACTTTTTTTTTCTATTCAAAACATTTTGTCAAGGATATGAGTGAATTATATGTATGTCTCGCCTATCTAAGTAGCTCTGAAAAGAACTGTTGAGAATGTGAGTGTTCCAAAAAGGATAAGCTGACTGATGACGCATAGCGTGTTTTTTCAAACTGATGACGCAAAGCATAGTTTTTCTAATGACAGGCCCAGTCACGTTGAAGTCTGACGAATAATAACGTATAATGAAAAGATCAAAACATTCTCTGGTACGTATGACGTCTGACTGAAATCAACCAATGAGCGAAGCGCACCTTTCGGTCGTAGGGATCACATGCCCCCTGAAGTTGTTTTTAATGCTATAATGATAGTCTTACAATCTCAAGCAGATACCTTTGTTAATGAAACTTTAAAAATTAACGTTTTGCATTTTAGAATGCCTATAGGGGGTGGTAGGGTAAGAAAAGGGATTGGTAAAGAATTTGGGGGTAGATGTCTCATTAGAATTAACAATGGGTTGGATGAGAATATCTGTTGTGCCAGAGCGATCGTCACCGGGATCTTAATGATTGAGGATAAAATTAATAATAGACAAAGATGGGATAATGTGAGGAAAGGCCGCTGTAAACAGGGAAGGGCTGCTCTCCATTTGTTGAGAAATGCTGGGGTTAGAAAGGGACCCTGTGGCATTAACGAATTAAAAGCGTTTCAGACGAGTATTCCCAATTATCAACTCATTGTTATTTCTAAAGATAATTTAAATACTGTTATATTTAGTGGGGAATTCAAACAAAAGCAAATTTATTTATATCTTCATGATAATCATTTTGATTTGATTTCTAGTATCACAGCTTTTTTTTTTTAAATTATGTATTTCTGCAACAAATGTTTAAAAGGGTATAATAACAAGTTTAAACATATGAATATGTGTGTAATTTATGTAAATCTAATTATTGTACAGCCTCTGTTAATTCTGATTACTCTGTAGAATGTGTAGACTAACAGACTTTTTAAAAATCAGCTATGCTTTAATAATCATAAAACAACCGTAAAACGGGATAAAACATCAATTTGTCAAAAAATTAAATCGTGTAAAACATGTAACCGTATTCTTCGTAAGGGTCATAGAAGCGATATTTACGTGTGTAGGGTTTGTAGGATAGACATTTCCTACGATCATAAATGTTTTATGAAACAGATTGTAGAAAACAAAAACAAAAATCGATCTCAAACCATATACACCGGAAGAGATGAGAATTCGAGCAAAGGAATTAATCTTCCAATATATCAGTGGTATGATATGTTACGACAAGCCAAAAAATTTGAATACATGTTACAAGAACTTAATGGTGAAGATGTTTGCGGTAATGGTACGGATGAAAATGATAATGGCGGAAAGAGAAAACAAGTTGAGGAAAAAAAGATACAATGCGCAGATAAATGCGGTTCAGCGTCAGAAGAAAATTACAATGAGAAAACTAACACGGCCCCATATTCCGATGTTCTTGTAGGCCTAGATACCGATCCATGTAATCAGGAATACTGGTTTTATCATCCAAAATAGTGATCAGATCAAACAACTTCATACAATTTTGCTCAAAGTGGGAAGCGTTATGGCATTAATCGACCATACCAAAACGAAATTTAAGCAATTAGTTGAAGAATATTTGCTAAGCTAACACTGAATTCACGAACTTGTAAATTAATGTAGATTCTATGATGATATGTATATTATTAGTTTGATACATCTAGATGTGTATAAGAGACATATTCAACTTAGCTGAAAATTTGTAAATGAAA